GAATTAGCTTCTCATCAATTATTTAGAAAATTGATGCGATAATACCTTCAATTGTTCTTTGAACAATTGGTTTTTAATTTTGTTTTCTTCCGCCAAATTTTGTTCTTGCGATAAATTTTTGTTTGGCAAGATGTAGCTTAGATGTTTCGTATATGATATCGAACAGTTTATGCGCCTTTGAAATTGACCCCGCTTAACCTAATACTTTTCTTTGTAGGAGTTATCTCCCCGAACACTAAATTCCTTGTGTGTGCATCTCCTCCATAACCGTAAAAGAAAGCGACAAATTTATTTTACCAAATTGCTCGTTATATCCTCAGGATGTTTTGTCCAATTTTGACCGAAGCAATACGTAAACTCAATATGAGAGTTATTTCCCCTTCTGTATTTGACATAAGGGATATATAAATGTATAGCATGAATGGTAAGTGATAGAGACCTAAGGTATATTGATTTGAGTTCCTTGGTTCATTTAAATGAAATTGAGGCCAAGGTCAAAGGTCAAGGTCATATTCAAAATTTTGACTTTTCCTTTTTATTTGATCTCCTCTGTCACTTTTAAAATTACAAATTAAAGAACTAGTGCAAAATGTTTGCTTAATTGTGATTAAGATATGATACATTTGGTCTGAAACAATCCAATGATATCTTATAGGAGTTATTGTCCCTGAAATGATTCAATTTAAGGTTAATTGATTAATACTCCAACTTGGTACATGATAAAGCCATAGGGTCTTTTGCAAACTGTTGGTTGACATATGACCTTGAACAATATCAACCGGAAGTGACCTTGAGTAAACCGGAAGTAGCCATTTTTGCACTTATTTCATAAAAAAGTACCTTAAAACCATATATTTTTTGAATGGACATACAGTAACCTTTCATTTGAGACCGGAAGTAGCATATTATCTCCCTTATTACAGGCATAAGTATATACAAACTATATATTTTTGGAATCAGTGTGAATAAAGCTATCATATTAGACCGGAAGTGACATTTTCTAAACCGGTAGTAGCTAATTATCTCCTTTTTACATGCAAAAGTATGTATGAACCATATATTTTTGGAATCAGTGTAAATAAAGCTATCATATATGACCGGAAGTGACATTTTCTAAACCGGAAGTTGGCAATAATCTCTCTTATTTCAGGCAAAAGTATATAGAAACCATATATTAATTGAATCAGAATGAAGAAACCAAAGCTTGGACACCAATAGTAACTTTGAGTAAACTGGAAGTAGCTTCTCATCAATAATTTAGAAAATTTATGTGGAAAGACCTTCAATTGTTCTCTGAACAATTGGTTTTTAATTTTTTTTTTTTTTTTTTCTTCCGCCTTATTTTGTTCTTGCGATAAATATTTGTTTCGCAATATGTCGCTTAGATATTTGGTATATGATATCGAACAGTTTATGCGCCTTTGAAATTTGCCCTGTGTAACCAAATAATTTTCTTTGTAGGAGTTACCTCCCCGAACACTGTTTTCCTTGTGCAAGCATCTCCTCAGTAACCGTAAAAGAAAGCGAGAAATTTATTTTATAAAATTGCTCGTCACATCCTTCGCATGATTAGTCCTATTTTGACCGAAGCAATATGAACGCTCCATATGAGAGTTATTTCCCCTTATGCATTTGATATAAGTGATATGCATTTCTATCTTGTAAACCATAAGTGATAGAGACCTAGGATCTTTTGATTTGAGGTCCTTGGTCCAAAAAAATGAAAATTAGGTCAACGTCAAAGGTCAAGGTCATATTCTGAATTTTAAATTTGGCTTTTTTTCACTTATTTCCAAAAACCGTACAAGATATCGACAAATTATTTTTATTAAATTGTTATTTGCGACATGTCGTAACACGTAAATTTTGATTGCAAGGGTACGTTGAACGTAAAAGGGAGTTTTCTCCCCTCTTGTATTTAAAAATACGCGTATGGTGATATAACTCATTAACTAAATATAATCAAGACCTATGGTCTTTTGATTTGAGGTTCTTGATTTATGACCTTGAAATTGATCTCAAGGTCATAGCTTAATTTGACGTTCTAGATTTTGACCTTTGCTTTTACCTCAAATGTATACATGATAAAGCCATGAGACTTTTGGCAATAGGTATCAAACCATTTAACCTTGAAAAAACAACCGGAAGTGACCTTGTGTAAACCGGAAGTAGCTATATTTTGTACTTTCTTAATATAAAAGTATATAAAACCAGATATTTTTGGAATCAGTGTCAAGTAAATATAAAGATAGTATCGGAAGTATCATTTTTCAAACCGGAAGTAACAAATTATCTCCCTTATTTAAAAAAATATTGTATAGAAACCATACATTTTTGGAATCAGCGTACAATAAGCTATCATTTGACCATTGAAATGACATTTTTAACCTAATTTTACTACTTTCATATTAAAATTCATGGTTTTTGGTGGAAAGACCTTCAATTGTTCTCTGAACAATTGGTTTTTAATTATTATTTTTTTTTCTTCTTCCGCCACTTTTTTCTGACGGTGCTTTTTTGTTTCGCAAGATGCCACTTAGATTTTTTGTGTATGATATCGAACAGTTATTGCGATTTTGAAACTGACCCTGTTTAGCCGAACACTTTTTGTTGTAAGAGTTATCTCCCCAAACACTGTTTTTCTTGTGTACGCATCACCTTCGCAACCGTAAAAGATTATGACAATTTTATGTTCGTTATATCCTCAGGATCTTAAGAATAATTTAAAATAGGTAAAATGTAATTGTAATTGGTAAATCATAAGTGATAGGGACCTAGGGTCTTTTGATTTGAGGTCCTTGGTCCAAAAAAAAAGAAAATAGGGTCAAGGTCAAAGGTCAAGGTCATTTTTAAATTTGGATTTTGGCTTATTTTCACCTCTTTTCATACACGATATAAGATATCGACAACATATTTTTACTTAATTGTTAGTTGCGACATGTCGTAACACATACATATCGGTTTAAAGGGTACGCTTACATCAAATTAGCGTTTTCTCCCCTCTTTTATTTAAAAATATGCATATGGTGATATAACTCATGAATAAAATATATAAAGTCCTAGGGTCTTTTGATTTTAGGTCCTTGGTTGATGACCTTGAAATTGAGCTCAAGGTCATAGGTTAAATTGACGTTCTAGATTTTGACCTTTGTTTTGACCTCATGTGTATACATGATAAATCCATGGGACTTTTTGAATTAGGTTTCAAGCCATTTAACCTTAGAAAAACCAACCGGAATCGACCTTGTGTAAACCGGAAGTAGCTTTTTTTGTACTTAATTAATGTAAAAGTTTATAGAACCAGATATTTTTGGTATCAGTGTCAACTAAACGTTTGAATAATACCGGAAGTAACATTTTTCAAACCAGAAGTAACAAAGTATCTCCCTTATTTAAAAATATTGTATAGAAACCATATATTTTTGGAATCAGCGTACAATAAGCTATCATTTGAAGCTGGAAATGATATTTTAAAACGAATTTTACTATTTTCATATTAAAATACATGTTTTTTTGTAGAAAGACCTTCAATTGTTCTCTGAACAATTGGTTTTTAATTGTTATATTGTTTATGTTATTTTTTTACCTATGGAAGATAATGTTCGACACTTGAATGTTTTTGAGTATAAATATATAGCAATATTCAAACATAGAATGACAAAGATACTAATTAAGAGAAAAGTTGAATCGCCAATTTTCTTTAAAATCATAAAAAAGTTGATTCCTGGTGTCAAGTTTGACCATTTGTCGATTTTCAACATCGTGGTAAGAAACTTAACCTTTATACGAGTGTGGTTTTTACACAATAGTTCAAGCTACCATAAAATAAACATTCATATGCCTATTACACTTTTAATTTATTTTTCATAATATCAAATGCTTATATATGATTTTAGGTTTATAGTACTAGTATTATGCTATCAATCAATTTTTCTTTGTTTGATTATCAATGGTTCAAAAAAACATCTCTTACGTCGCATCGTTTATGAATCCACTACTAAATTCTCTAATATATAATGTGGTGTAAATGTATTAACAGTACTTACTCTTTTTTAGATCAGCAACTACATGATTTACAACATATACGAAATAGGAGAAGTGGAATAATTGCTAATAAAATGTCGCAACTATCAACAGGCACATTAAGAATGTGCTGGGGTTTAACCAGTTTATGAGCCCTGACACCCCCCTAATTCTGGAACCGTGGTGTAATAGAATGAACACAGCATAACATTAGAACAATATGTAAAAATCATTTGGTAATGACCAAACGAACGGTATGAAACACAAAACACTAACACAATTACAATAGACACATATCAGTAATCTGAAAATTTTAAGATATTTGTTAAATTTACTATAATTATAGTTTTTATGAACTATGCATCTGTTCAATGTTTGAAAGTGTAAAAAGTATACTGTTTTATGATATGCAAGTCAATAATGTATAAATCTCAGCGATACAGTGATCGTACACGTGATACAGAAGTTAAGAGACAACTTCTGTATTACGTGTACGATCACTGTATCGCTGCGATTCATACATTATTGACTTGCATATCATTATATATAATTACCAGAAAAAAACCCTCGAGAAATCAGTAGCAAGATAAAAAAAAACTCTAGTAAATGAATTCAAGTCTGAAACGGTCATTTTAATTTTAACATAATCTGAAATGTCTGAACAATAAATTGTTTAGTCATGTTCAGTTCAATTTTCAGAATAATCCACTGTGCTAATTTCAGTCCTGATCAGAAACTTCGTTTGCAGTCAATTTAATACTGATTAGTACCTTTTCAGACAATTTAATGTTGATGGGAACAGCTGAATAATAATTACTGAACCGTCAGAACATAGACTGAACAGATCTTATTTTACTGCAAGCGAATTGTCTGAATAGTACTGACTTTACCGCTGTACATACATGCATGTATTTCAGGAAATCAAAATTGATTTACGAGTGAAAGCTGCCTTCATATAAAGCGTGTATAATACTTGCTAGATATTTTCTCTTTCATTCCAGAAATGGTTTCATATTTCTGCTCGCAGCTGTCGCATTTTATTATTTGGTCAACATATCTGCTCTTTTTAGACTTTTTAAAATATTGCATTTCATACTCTTTTTCTGAAATAAAAGTGATACAAATGAAGTAGTATCCAATGTATAGAAAATGAAAGGATATGGAGTAAATGTACATGGGACAAAATCGCACACAATACATAGAAAACAGAAAATTATCAATGAACAGGACTTTTATTCCTGTTCTTCATCTTGACAGTTGATGTAGGGTCTTCAACAATGAACGAATCATTCATACCCTACAACAAGGTCAAGACGGCCCCTTGCGTCGACTTAAGCGGTACTATTGATAAAAATAATCCACAGTTTACCTTCTTGCTCCCCACCCGCCTCGGAGTGCCAACTTGTGCGATGATTGTGTACGACGGTTCTCCAGTCGAAAGCACCAGGGATACAAGAAAAGTGCAGTAATTTTGAAAGACATCGATCGCCGCTAAAATATGCCTTGACGTTACACATGTCGTGAGCGGTCAATAAATTACATAATTTATAATTACGGGCAAGGTTTTTCAACATATATTTGTCATACATTGCCCACCAAAAGACCAATTATTTCGAAACAACGAATGATAGACAATACATATAAAACTAAAAAAAAACAAAAAACAAATGATAGACAGCACGGGGCACTTCGAAATATAGGTAAGAAAACCTGGCAGTTTAAAATAGTATGAAAGGGCAATATACAAAACAGATGACCAGACCAGTATTTTGAAGAAATTTAACCAAACATGAAATTTTGACGGTGTATATATATATATATATATATACTTTTTCGAAATACTAAGGACTTCTTACCCCAACATTAGCTAAACTTAGCTGTATTTGGCAAAACCTTTTGAAATTTTATGTCCCCATTTGTTAATATCGTAATTCATTTGACCTTTTAAACTTTTCGATTCGAGCGTTACTGATGAGACTTTTGTAGACGAAACGCGCGTCTGGCGTACTTAAGTTTAAGTCTTGTATCTATGATGAGTTTTTTCACATGCACAAAAGGCGTTCAAGTAATAGACTTACCGTATAAGCTTATTTCTATAATTAAATCTACAAGATCTTTTCTCCTTAATAAATTGTGAAACTACCCAAATAAGGAGAAACAAATAAAATAAAAAAAATACCGAACTCCGAGGAAAATTCAAAACGGAAAGTCCTTTATCAAATGGCAAAATCGAAAGCTCAAACACATCAAACGAATGGATAACAACATCTTTGTAAATTCAGTTCTAGTATCTAAACTCACTTAAAGAATATTAAATGATATGGTCAAAACTATTGAACACCTTCACCTGTTGTATCTTATTTGTAATTGTCACTCTACATAAGAAAAAAGATCATAATCATCATATGAGTTGTGTCAGATAGAAATCGACATGATCGAGGCAAATGAATATCAATACATCTGTTAAGCTATTTCGGGTTGAAAACATCTTTATGCAAAGTCTGTAACTGTTTAAGAATTGAGTTGATATAAGAACCTTACAACACAGATAAACATTCATCTTTTATCTCGTATTTGAATGTTCCAAAATCAATCAAGGTCATATACATGTGCATGTATACTTGCACTTGCATCAGGTCGATTTCTATCCGACGCATCTCATATGTAATAAAAAAAAATCTCAAATTACCCTTTTTCTAAATTTTTTCTTTAAACCTGTTTGTTCCGGAAACCCGTGTCGTTCGCAAAATAATCGGCTAAATTCTGTTTTGTTTCAGCAAGGAGAGATAGAGTAAACAACGTTTCGTACCCGAAAATAACAAATTAGTCAAAAAATATGTCATTTATGTATTGAACGTGAACGTTTGGATTTGTGATGCCTTTTTCGAGTTTTTGCTTTATTTATTTTCGATTCATGCCACAATCATAGATAACTGAAATGCATGTAAGTTTTAATACAGTAACTGCAAATTCAGAAAGAAGTGCCTGCATGTATTATTAAGATCTTTGAAGATTGGACAAAAAATTAGAGATGTTTAGGAAAATCTGCATGCAGATATATGTATCAGACATTCGAATGCCAGATCGTACTATTGCGATACTCACCAAGACGCATTATTTGCATTTATTTAACACTAATCTTGCAATAACTTTTTAATTTACAGTATTTCACCGTGTTTCACAGTGTTTAATAAGATGTCGACAACAAACTGTGTTAACTGATGCTCGAAGCCGAAATATTTGTAGAATCCAAACCTTAAACAAACTTTGAAGAGCTGATCATCCAAGAAGGAACGATAATGAAGCAAAAATTTGGACAAGTAAGTGTCTAAAGACATAAACATTTGTTTTTGTTCTTGTTCATGTAAACTATCAATTAAGGAAATTTAAAAATTCTTTTGAATTCTTCATTAGTTGTAGCTCGTGCCTTAAAAGCTTATTATTAAATTGATTTGAAAAGAAATGAATGAATATTTATGCATAAAATTATCACAATATCCATGGACACAATCACAAAATAGAACAAAGAGACCAACATGCAGTTTTCAACAATAGTCAGTTTTCCATGCAATATATAGAACTAAAAAAAAATAAGATACATCCACCAAGTTTCTGCAGGGTTCGACTATTTCTTTTTACATGATACTTTTCATATTCATGATGTATGCAATGGTATTCGGAAACATCAATTTAAATTTAGCTAAAATAAACATTTGGCAAATTTTAAATCTCTGTCATTCTCTTGAATAAAATTTTATCAAAACCATCGATTTGTCTACTCTTTACACCAGCAAACTGCATGGAAATATGAAAACCTGTCTTAAAGAAAAAATCCCTATGGCTTTCTCCACCAAAAAGTTAACATATTGTTTTGGATACATTTTGGCATATTTTGTTACAAATGATCCCTAGGATAACACTTTCTACACGATGATCAAGTGATACGTTTGCTGGAATTTCTCATTGATAAAATATCTGTTGAATTGGGATGGATAATTTTTCAGCATGTTGTCGGCATTCCTATAAGCACCAAGTGCGACTATCCTACACGATTGTATTTCTTCATAAGAGTTGGAGTTCCTTTGGATATGTGTAAAGAGTCGGAGTTCCTTCAGACATGTGTAAAAAAAACAGGAAGATCAAGGAAGCTGGGTCATTTATGTTTACATATAGGTATATTGATGATGTTGTTTCCACTAATAATTCAAACTTTTCTGTTTTGTTCCCATTAATATATTCATCTGGCCTAGAGAATGAAGACACTAGAGATACAGCTTTGTCGGCTTATCTACTTTGAATTTTACTACAATGGTCATCCCAGTGCCACGCGCTACGAAAAACGAGACGATTGCAAATTTTAAAATCAAACATTTTCCTCACCATAGCAGCAGTATTCCAATTTCACCTGCGTGTTTGACATTTCACAAGTCATACGATATTCAAAAACTTGCATCTGCTAATCAGACTTTGTAAAACGTGATTGGTTTTAAGCCAAAAATAAAGTGTCATAGTTTTGTTTAAGAACGTCTCGTCCTTTGTCTCAAAAGGTTTATTTAAAAGTACCAAGACATAAAAGATAAAAAAAAAATAAGTGTCTACTTCACAAACAATATAGAATGGTCTTAAGTTCTAGGTGGTAAAGGAGTGTATAATTTAATTTTTTAATTTTTACTGTTATTTGTTTCTGTACTTTAATGTTCGTTTTGGTCTTTTGACTCTTGACGTGGTTCGATATTCGTGCAACCAGCTTTCGTGTTCTTGTCTTTGAACTTTCCTGATGCAGGTGGGCCAGGGGTATGATTCGGAAGCAAACGGATTTAAAGTTTGCTTTCATTTTGTATACCATTGTATTTATATTTTACATAATTTGTACATTATCGGGTAAGTGGATATGTCATACAAGTGGGAGGTTAATCTACCTATAAAACCATGTTTTAACCACCAATTATCTATGAAAACTGTCTGTACCAAGTCACAAATGTGACAGTTGTTTACCATTTGTTCCATTGGTTTATATAGTCGAGTGATTGACTTATAGTGTATTCAAACTTTATGCTACTATAAAAATTATTTATCTTTAAGTAACGTAAAAAGTACAACGTAATTATACATGTTATATATGCTTGTCTGATGAAAAGGGTGCATGGAAATGTCGAGGAAAGGGATATCTTTACATACCATATACGATAGATTCCAACTCTTTACGAACTTCTGAAAGAAAAATGGTAAATAAAGGCAACAGTAGTATATCGCTGTCCAAAAGTCACAAATCGATCGGGGGAAAACAAATCCGGGCCACAAACTAAAACCGAGGGAAACACATCAACTATAAGAGGGAAAAAAAGAAGAACGAAAACACAGAAGAGCAACAAAAACAAACGCCAATGTCTTTTGTCTTTTCCTCTCAGCAACTTCTCTTTATTTCATTATAACAAATAATTTATATAATTATAAGTGTATTACTAATGTTTACGGTTGCCTCTATTGAGCCATAGCATTGCGTTTTATGTTAGAAATCAAAATGTTCGAAATAAATTAGAAGTGAATTAATGTGGTACATAACACTACAGGGAGATTACTCTATAAAAATCACGTTCTATTGATAAGGAAATATTAAGCTTCTCAATTATCAAAATTAGTGTTAGTCAAACTGCTATATATCCAATGAAATTTTTCAGATAAAGTGTGTTGTTCAAGATTTTTGAAATTTTAATAATTTTGTAAAAGGGTCAAAGTATATATTTTGTCAAAATTTTATGAAAATTGAACGAGCCAAATTAATTTCAGTCAATGGCTAGAAGAACTGCTTGCTTCAAACACAGTATATACAATACTTGCCATATATTTTTTTTTTCATGCCATAAAATATTTTATCTTTCTGTTGACAGTTTTTACATTCTTCGACTTTGTCTGAAGATTTTCGTTTTTGTTGGACTTCCGAATATTGCATCTCACTCTCTTTTTCTAAAATGAAATATAGCACAAATAAAATTATTATTATTTAAAGCAGAATTCATGTACAGCTACAAAATGCAGTCAACTAGTAAACATACTAAGAATAAATGTCTACTTGAGTTGTCAAATTGTTGTAATAATTTTTATGTTTGAAAATGTATAATCTAGCAAAAAAGAAAAGGAAAATGTTAATAAAATATAAAAATTCTAGATCCGGAACTGCTTTAGAGAAATAATTTTACCTATCACCGATAAGAGTGGTGGATAACGGTATCTGTTATCCTCAGTTTTTTATCGATATAAAAAAGAAGAAAATATTTAGATACTAATTTATTTCAGAATCGAAACAAATATATTGAAATTTTTATTCATACATATCTGTGAATAGCTTATATTAATCATATTTAAATCACTTTTAAAACTGGTAATTTCCAAACCAGGAAAAATATATCAATACAATAATAAGAAATCGGTAACAGAAAGTGTGAACTATTTCCGGAAGATTTTTCTTTCCAAACAAGCTAGATAATACATATTGATAAATAAGAATTTCATATATACTTATTTATTTACGTTTGAAAATGAAATATTTATAATATAGTTTAGATGAATTGTAATGTATTATTGATAAACAGAGAGAAACCCTGGATTTCTTGTAAAAATAAAGAGACCTTTCACTTTAATGCTTGACTAGTGAAGTAAAGTTAACAGCAAGCAATATATTGTTGAATAAAAATAAAACAAAAAACAAATATTTCTAAACGCTTAAAAAGCGGTTTAGGACAATAAAATTTATCAGTGAATGGATACAATTATATCATTATGTTCTTTTGTCATTTCTTCTCAGCAACATTTTATGAAAATTACTGAAAAGTCGGAAATGATCACGAAAGATGAAAATCTTGTATAATACATATATAGATAATAAAAGTTTCCACCGAGACAATATGTCATTAAGAATGAAGGACAAGGGTGTAAACGATTGACTGTCCCTCTGGTATCTTTCGTCCCTCTTTTATATGACACAACATGGCCTTCAACAATGAGCAAAACTATGTGATAATTTAATGTAAAACAATGTTAAACAAGACAAAAAACTAATTACAGCTAAGAATATAACACTAAAAAACAAGTTTGACAAGCGAGGACCAACGAAAACTAGACATGGTAGGTAAATTATTGACACAAATACCTTACACATATGCCTCGAATGATAGAAGAAACATTTTTTTTTCAATGGGGTTATCTCAAAGTTGACAATGATCACCGTCATTTATAGAAACTGATGACACGGTACTCTAATTATATTAACGGTACCAATTTTACGGCACAAGTACGCATTTTGACAATAAAATTTCTCTAGTGATGGTAGAAATCAAAATATTTGAAAATACAAAGCATAAAACTAGCATTGAATAGCTGTTAAAACCAAAAGGAAAAAATTAAAGCCACACCAGTAAAAACAAACCGGGCTCAGCCTGACGGAGAAATATTAATTAATTTAAAATGATTTCAAAATTTCTTACTGGAAACTTAAATTAACCGATATCAGTTTTTTCAATCAGTTAACAAATTTCGTTGTTTGCATGACATAAATGATTATCATTACCTGCTGATTATAATGGACTTTGACAAATTACAGATGCCGGGAATTGCAATAGTAGTGATTTCCCAAGAACACGGAGCAACAGAAAAGTTTACTGCATTTTATAAAGTGAAACATTATTTTTATATATATGATCATGATGATGTGGTTCTTAATTCTGAAGAACGAACTTCAACAATACTCAAAACCTCTACATATGACACTCGTTGTTGATAATTTGTGGGATTAAAATATGTTTCGAGAGCGAGAAATATTTTACGAGAGCTTCACCAAGAATAGACCTGACCTGCCATATGGGATATGCATTTCCCAACTCATTCGGTATTCAAGAGCTTGCAGCTGCTGTTCAGACTTTGTAAAACGGCACCAGTGTCTAAGCAGAAAGTTGACGAAACAGGGTTATATCAAAGAACGTCACGTCCTGTTTCAAAAAAGGTTCATCGGAAGATACCAAGACCTTGTTGATAAATATTCCGTATCAACTTCACAAATAATACACGATGGTCTTGAAGTATAGATTATAGGTACTGACGTTGTTTATCATCTTAATAACGTGTTATAGTGTTCTTTAATTTGCCTTTGTAAATTATTACTTTTACTGTTTAGTCTATTTTCGGTTATATCCATTTGAAGTGGTTCGGTACTTACAAATCCCGCTATTGTGTATTTGTGCTATGGTAAATTTTTGTATTCTTGTCTTTCGGTTTTGCCAATGTTCTTTGTCTATATATTTTTTGTTTTTGTTTGTTTACATATTTGTTTGTTTTATAGTGATTAAGATTATTACACAATGTTGACTGCTGTAGCCCTATTTGTGATATTTTTACCTATTACATCTGTTTTTTGGTTTACACATTGTTTTCAATATAATGGAATTGTATGCGACTGTCATACAAGTAAGAGGTTAAGCTAGGTATAAACCCAGGTTCAATCCACCATTTTCTACATACAAAAATGCCTGTACCAAGTCAGGAATATGACAGTTGTTATCCATTCATTTAATGTGTTTGAGTTTTTGATTTTGCATTTGGATTAGAGACTTTTCGTTTTGAATTTTCCTCTGAGTTCGGTATTTTTGTTATTTTACTTTTGACTAGACTAGACTTTTTAACGTAACACGATACCGAATAGCAAATCTCCCGATTTCTGAACTTTTTGGCACACTGGTACTTTGAATCAAGTTACATCTGAATATGAAATAAAAAGTGTGGGAAACCATTTCTTTGTTTGTGTATTCTTTATAAGAAAACGTCATTTTTGGCGACAAATTTACATAGATATATAGGGAAAATGCCTTTTTTTAACTATTTTGATTTTTAGATTTTCAAATGGATGGCTATGTTTGCATATACAAAGAAAGACTAAAATCTAACATTATATCTAGGATTGTATACTGAATCCATGCATGTATAATAAACATATATGTCACCATCCTTGTTTTAGATGCATTGCTTTAAAATGACTGATACACTTAGAACTTGAAAGAAAACGTGTGACGTTACTGAATACAGAATAACATAATTTTTATTGAGAGGTATTGAAAAAAATACTCTGAATAGTGTTTGTTATTTTATTTTTATCCCCCTGTCGTAAATTTCAAAATAATTCCATATAAATTTGACTGAGTTTATTTTATTTCGTCCTAACTGGGTGCACTTTTCATTTTTTAAAACTGAATCTTCAACTTAAACCTACCAAACTAGACAATGGTGATGACAACAATGTATCCATGCACGAATAAAATAAAGTGCTTCAAAATTTGGTTTGGTAAACAGTGATGTTGAGGTACAATTTGAATTGATTGATTAATGGTTGCTTAACGTCCAATGGCAAATATTTCATGCCTTTTCAAGACGATACAATACAATTTGAAATAGCTGTGTCTAAAAGACACATTTGATGCAGCCGTCAAAAAAGGTTAAACATTCTGTTAGTTGTAAAAATTATAAAGAAAATAAACATCTGGATAAAATTCACATTCTACATATCGTATATTCTGTATGCTGTAAACGTGTGGGTTGTGAAGATAACCTAGCAGTATTTGGCACAACTTCTTGGAATTTTGGGTCATCAATGCTCTTCATCTTTAGGCCTGGCACCTTTGATAACTATTAGTTTGTCGTAATGTTCTATTGTATAATTTGTTTATTTGTGCGTTTCTCTGTCCTGTATGTTCATCCATTTGTTTGTATTGTAGTCCTGTCGTGTAATGTTTTTCATTTTAGTGTTATATTTAACATTGCCATTAAAGCGGGAGGTTTGGCTAGCCACAAAATCAGGTTCAACCCACCATTTATTCTTAAAATGTCCTGTACCAAGTCAGGAAAATGGCTATTGTTATCTTATAGTTCTTTTCTGTGTGTGTAACATTTTAGTGTTTCTGTTGTGTCTTTGTTCTCCTCTTATATTTGATGTGTTTTCCTCAGTTTTAGTTTGTAACCCGGATTTGTTTTTTTCTCAATCGATTTATGAATTTCGAACAGCGGTATACCACTGTTGCCATTATTTGTGTGCTAATACCAGGTACATTGTTAACAAGTTTAAGCTTAACAACTGCAGTCCTAACTATAAACCCTGTATACCTATTGCAAGACGGACTGTCAAACGAACACGGGTAAAACAATATGCTCCCAACATTTTTTCGAGGAAATTAAATATATATTAGCATATATAATGATTTTATAAATCACTTTTTTGTAATAAGTAGTTTATAGTGGAATGTTTATTCGGAGATCTCAAATGTAGCAACGTAAGCAATCTAACATCTACGTCATTTGGTCTTTGATGGAAAGTTGTCTTATTGGAATTCATACTACATCTCCCTATTTCATAATGGTTTGAGTCATCTCCAGTTTTAAGTGTATCGGTCAAGTTTAAAGACTAACAAATACGTACTATAAGACTGAAATATATTGCTGTTAAAGTTAAAATCTGACTTTTGTTGTAAACATGTGGTGTTTAAATTTGAAAATTTAATACTTGATATACTGTATATACTTATTATCTTTATAGGTTAAGGGACCCACGAATCTTAACTAAAACTACAAATTAGCAGTAAGAAAAATACTTGTCCATTCTCCATAATCCACGTGTTATCTAGATGTCTTTGATTTTGTGTGTCGTTAATTGGCCAACTGCTGTTTTATAGTATATCTCACATTTCCATCTATGCACGCAGGAAAAGGACCAACTCATAATTTTGGCCCTAAAAGATTTACCTTCTTTGAAGAATTGATCATTTATTTATTGTGGGGCCACAGGTTTCTTAATGTTTCGGTTGATTGTAAATTTTGATTGCATAAAATGATAGACATCTTGTCTCCAAACAGTATCTTTATGAATAACATTCTCTGAAAAATTTTTGTTGTTAAAAATGATATTATAAGTTACATTACTCGAGGGT